GGGGGGGGAAGAAGGCGAGATCAGTGTGGTTGGGTTAAAAGGGGTTGGGTTGGGGGGGGTGGAATGATATGTTGGAGAGTTATAAAAATGCAAATTTGGAAAAGTACATATTGTGGTCACTGTTAATACATAAACATTCATTTAGATATTATGGGTGAGAGAAAGAGAGAGAGAGAGACAGAGAGAGAGAGAAAGAGAGAGAGAGAAAGAGAGAGAGAGACAGACGGACAGACAGACAGACAGACAGACAGACAGAGAGAGAGAGAGAGACTGAGAGACCGAGAGACCGACAGATAGACAGAGAGAGAGAGAGAAAGAGACAGAGAGACAAATAGAGAGGAGAGAGAGGGTGGGAGAAGAAGAGAGAATTCATGCTCAGAGACATACTTTTTGGTATGCTTGTGTGAGTTAGTTCTGCCTCATTTTGTATGTTTTCATTGAACATGGAACATGAATGTAATGGACGCATTTGTGTGGTGATGCTGAATATTTGTACTTGTATGTTGTTCTTCTGGTATATCCACCCAAATTATCTTATCAGGCCTGATCTTATCTTATCGTATCTTATTTTACCTCACCTTATCGTATCGCATCTTATCTCATCAGATCTCATCTCATCGTGTCTCATCTTATCGTTTTCATCTTATCTCATCTCATTGTATATGGTTTTGTTTGGCCTTCCCTTTTCTTCTCTTGTCTTGTCTTATCTTGTCTCATCTAAGGAAAAAGAAAGAAAGACTCGACTCTTCACTGCATTTCTTTCGCTCACTTAAAAAAAAAAAATGTTCGTCCATTCGTCTGTTTCGAGCAAAAGTGCATGGAATCGGAGTAGAGGACGGAACTCCAAGCAGAACTTCAGGAATGAAATGGACAATAGAAAAAAAGTCTTTTTTAAAATCTTACCTTACAGAAGATTATTTCTTGCTGTAATAAAAGGTCACAAATAATGAAAATAGGTTTAGTACAATATATTTGACCCGAGAGAGAAGTAGGGAGAGAGAAGGAAGAGAAAGAGAGAAAGAGGCAGACAGACAGAAAGAGAGAGAGGGAGAGAAGGCATGTGGGGAGAGAAAGAAGAAGAGAGGGAGGAGACAGTTAGAAAGAGAAAGAGAAAGGGACGGGAAGGAGAGAAAGAGACAGACAGACAGACAGACAGACAGACAGACAGACAGACAGACAGACAGACAGA